CAAACAAGCATCGACACAAAAACGCGTGATGGAAAATTTTACCTAAGAAATTTTGAGATCCATTTGAATTTTGTTAAATTTAAATTAAATGATGAAAAAACTTTTGATAAAACATTATTATTTTACACTCAAGAAATGAAAGAATATATTAATAAAATCATATCCATACATGAAGAAAACAGTATTATATATTACCAGGTTATTATAAATAGAATGAACACTTCTACAAACAAAGAGGATTTTAAAGATTGGGGTGATTTTGATCGAAGTATTAAATATTTGGATAATAAATATTTAAAAGAAAAAAAACCCCCAGATTTACAAGAAATTAGGAAAAAAAATTACAAAATGCCTGAACCTGTTGTTCTATCTGTTGTTCCAGAAGAAGATGATAGACTTCCATATGAAAAGATAGAAATTACAGAAGACCGTGTTACAAGAATAAGAGAATGGCTTATACAAAAACGAGATTATAGAGGCAAAGCTGAAACTTTTGACACAATCATGGATGATTTTTGAGGTTTAATTAACGGACGTAAATTTTAACAAGAAACTGATACTCACACTCTCGATCTTGTTAAAGAAATATGGGAATTGTATAAAATTAAAGATCCTATGCCTAACAACTTATCTGATTCAATAGAAAGATTGAAAGTTCACGCTCAACAAACAATTCCCTTTCCTCTTATACAAGAAAATAGATCTCTAAATAAAGAGAATTTTGAATGGATCAAGAAAATAACAATAACATAAAAAAAATATTAGAAAAACAAAAAAAATAGTTAGAAAAAAATGATAATTACAAAGATTCAGGAATTGTCAAATGATTGGAAACAGATCATCAAATACTATGAAAATTATATAAAAAACAACCAAGAAATTTTAAACATCTTAAAAAATATCGTAAACAACTATATAATAACAATTTTGATTTGATTTTTTTATTAAACTTGATACAAAAACACTCTGAAAATTTCAAAACATACAAATGAAAAAACTTAATAAAAAACAACTATTTGATAAATGGAAAAAACAAATTAATAAAAATATCGATGACAATAATGTAAAAAATCTCACAAAGGATTATTTAGATTTGATCTATAACGATTTTTACATTAAAAATAAACATAACAAAAAAATATTATTAGACGAAGAAAAGGCTTACCATTCGTTCAGTCTCATCTCTGAAGTTTATTTAAAAGAAGAAGAAAAAACCAGATTAAAAAGAATTCGAGAAGAACATGAAAAAATATTATTTGATAACTTTTGTAAACAAGAATTAAACATATATATCAAACATATTATTAATAAATATAAAAACTATGCAATTTAAATTTATCACTTTTCTTGTTTTTCTCTTAATAATAATTAAAAATATTTTAGCTGCTTGTGGTTGTTGTGGTTTAATCGGTCATAATAAAAATACCTGTAATAGAAATCTCTGTTCTAGATTACAACAACACCAAAAACTAAGATATTGCGGTAATTGTGGCAGCACGTCACATATCGCATCTAATAAAGGATGTTGCACAAAAAAACAATTTTTTTAATCGTGTTTTTGATATTACTATCAATAACAACTCTGGTTGATAGTTTATGTGGAATCTGTCAAAAAAAAGGACATAACAGAAACACATGCCCAAGACAATTTGGTATCAATACAGCATTTTACGATGATGGAGATATGGTGTTAAATAAAATGGGAAAAACTTTAGTACCCTGGCAATCACATAAAATCGTTAGAAACAGACCTTCCAAAGGAAGATCATGTACATATTGTAGTGTGTTAGGTCATAATAAAAGAAAATATCCTTGGGCAAATACTCAAGGTAGAAACTTGCAAAATATAGCTGGAATCAGGGCTGCAGCAAAAAAATATTTTGAAGCACCGTATTATCCCTTACGAATATGTAGTTGATGTGGTGCCATCTGTCATAATAGAAAAAGTTGTCTTCTTCGTAAAGCTGGAGAAGATAGGATAGATAACGATCATAAAAGAGCATTAATACAGGGTCTTAATAAATTTAAAAATAGTCCCAAATATAAATTAAAACATAAAATAATACCAGAATTTATAATTAGAAATGTATAAATTTTTATTGTTATTTTTTATTATAATAAAAACCATTTCATGTGTTTATCCAGTAATTGTATTACCAAATGTTTGGCTTGACATTGAATACAGACTTTATTACCGACCATATCATAGACCCAGACAAATTCCATATAGGCCATACAGGCCAAGAAGAAGACGTATACCAAACTACATAGCCGCTTGCAGATGTTGTGGTAGTGAAAATCATGCTAGAAATGATCAGAACGCCCCTTGTCGAAATCAAAACTATATCAATCCTAGATTAGTAAGATTGCTCAGAGAACAAAGGTTATATTATATTGAAAATGGAATTCAAATGCCAAATAACATAGGTCAAGGACCTCTGAATAATAATCAAAGACCAAATAGACAAATTCCGCCAAGAAATAATAGTAATGGTAATGATGATGATGATAATAACAACAATGATGATGGTAATCCTCCTCAAAATAATATACTACAAGCACAACAAAACCAACAACCGAATCAACAAAATTTAACAATAATATCGATAGATTAAGAGAAGATATTAGAGCTGGAAGACAACAGTTTAGAGATACCATAAGAAATCTGTTTAACACACAAAACAATGTGTTGAATCAATTAAATAATAATATAAGAAATTTAAACACAAATCAAAATGATCAATTAAACTTGTTAAATCAGATAAGAAATCTAATCAATCAACAAAATAATAATTTCAACAATCT